TAGAAGAATGAGCTAGAGATCTTTGGCACTATTGGGAGTGTCATGTCCTAGCCTAAATCTGAGTGATTTCGAGCAGCATTTACTCCTGAAATGAAACTGAATTGGATCTTACCAGCTCAAGTTTGCCTAAAATGTTTGGGTACCTCCCAACATCTGGATTTTTCCCTAACAGAAAAAAATGCAGATCAATTAGTAGTTCTGCCTAAGTTTATGGAGAACATCTTAGATGTTAATCATTTTAATGGGTACATCGAGGGGCTAGTAATACAAGATACAAAGGATAATTTGAGGAATATAATTTTATTGGGGCAATGTTACACATGGATATATATATATATATATATATATATATATATATATGCATACATACATACATATGGGCATCAGTTGGCAGGACATAGCAATGTGTGTATACAACATGAAACAAAGTATCATGGAAAGAGTCAATGTGCACTGAGACTTAAAAATTAGTTTTACATGAATCTATCGGGTGGGGCATGCACACATCACAGTTTCCATGTAGTGGCCCGAAGACAATGTGTGCAAGTCAGTTCTCTTTTTGCACCATGTGGTCATAGTGAATTAGAATTTGCCCCTTCTATGGCTCTCCTATGTAACACTGTCTACCTGGTTTTTGTCTTTTAAGCCCCAAGATATTTACTCAGAAATGGGAATCCCCTTCAATTCTCTGCTGGCACCCACACCCTCCAAATGCAGCTGGGGGTTGTGTTGCAGGAGACAAGGCAAGCCCCAGGCACACACACACACACACACATACAGGCACACACACACATACAGGCACACACACACACACACACACACACACACACCCATCACAAATTGGAAAAATGGGAAAGACAAGAGGCGATGAACTTTCAACACAATGAAGATACAGAGAGCAGGCTGAGCTCTGTTACTGAGATGTAGGTTAGAACTGGAAAGTTAAGTTTTGTAAGAGTGACGAGCATCAGGTCAATGTAGCACTGAGGCAGGGCTAAGGATCAGCACACAGACCCTCAGATCCACTTGGAAGTAAGGAGTCAGCAGCCACAAGATTACATTCTAGATCTAAGCTCCCCAGGGTGAAATGGCAACAAAGTGTGTCCTTTATTTGGCCACATAGTTCTTTCTTTCATCTGATATTTTTTCACATTAATTTAAATGTTCTATTTGTTGGATTTTTAACACTGGCAAATAGCCTACCCTTCTCTGTGTTTCAGGGTATTAGTAGTAAGCACTATAAAAAGATGACACAGTAAATAGCCGTTGAGATTTGCTTGGTGGTTAGGCATGCTTGCTGCTCTTCCAGAGGCCCTGGTTCAGTTCCAACACCCACACAGGGCAACCCAAGCTCCAGGGGATCTACCACTCCCTTCCTGCCTCTGCCAGCACCATACACATGTAATGTATGTACATATGCTCAGGCACAAATAAACATAAAATAAAAATAAATATTTTTAAAGGTAACAATGAAGTAATATCAACAACTGTACTGGCTAGTTTTATGTCAGCTTGGCACAAGTTAAGAGTCAGTCATGAGAGAGGAGGGAGTCTCAATTGAGAAAACGCCTCCATAAGAGTGGGTTGTAGATGCTGGGCATTGGTGTTGCACGCCTTTAATCCCAGCACTCAGGGGTG